TTTTAATCTGCATTTCCCTGAAGATAAATACATTGTCATATACCTATTGGTCTTCTTTAAGGTAATGTCAGTTCTTTTCTTCTCCCCATTTTGTGGGACCACACATGGCTGTCCTCAGGGCTCTGCATTCAGGGATTACCCTGGCAAGCTCAGGTGCTAAGAATCAAACCCAGCAACTGCAAGCAAGGCAAGAGCCTTACTCTCTGTGCTATATCCCCAGTCCTGCTACTCCTATGTTTCTGATGGAGTTGTTTGGTTCTTTTCTTGTTGTTTTAAAGTTTTACAATTGCTTTATAAATACTGGCTATTTATCCTTTCTCTGTCAGTTGAGTGGTGGGCAAGTACACTTTTCCAGTCTATGGGAGCATCACTTAAACTAGTCATTGATTTTTTTCAGTGACAAAGCCTCCAAATTTGATAAACTCCCATTTGTTTGATTTTGGTTCCATTTGCTTGATCAATGGCATTCAGTCATTGAAGCTCTCTCTGGAGTCAATGTAATTAGCCTTTGAATTCCTCAATATATTCAGGTCTGAAATCAGGTACTTAATCCATTTTGAATTGACTTGTGTCAATGGTGTGAGAGAACTGAATTCAGTTATTTATACATGGCTGGTCAGTTTTTCCAGCACAATTTTTTAAGAGGTTTTCTTACTTGAATTCATACTCTCCGCTCATTTGTTGAAGATTAAATGTCCATATACCTGAGAAACTATATCTGAGCTATGAATTCTGTTCCACTGATCTTAGAATATGTATTTCAGGAAATGTTTTATATTCAGCTTGTATTTAGGATGGGAAATATCTATAAAATGGTTTCTGATGACTAATTTTTATAAATTGGCCAATTATTGTGTGAAAGTGCCCTATCAAATACACCTCTTCTTTCCTATATTCCCTATTCTCTCACACTTTATTACTCTTTTTTGTTTTCTTGTCTTAGCATCAGGCAGAATTTATAGTAATTTTAAAAGCCATGTATTGCTTTTATTTATTAAACCCATTATGATATTAAAAGTAATAAAATGATGATTTTATAATACTACGCTTACCTGGCAGAAGAGACATATAGAGATATTTAAAAAAAAAAAGGTTGGAGCGTCTCATTAACTTCAAACCCAGAACCAATTTTCGGGTTTTGGTACCTACCTTCTTTTACTTTCAATCCTTCAAATAGTTGTTGGTATATGCATTCCCATGCACACAGGCATTAGAAACACTATAATAAATTACAATAAGCTTTAGTAATGAATATAAAACTTAATGTCATGAAATAGGAACCCCAATAAATTGTCATTGAATGCTGGAAAAAACTTTGTCTTGTTTATCAATATATTTCTAATGCGTAGAAACTCCAAGTGTTTAATAAATATGTTCAATGTAATTAACCAGGGAAGCACTATAGTCAGTCAAAGCATGGAAATCAGGAAAGAATGCTTTCTTTTTAAGTTTTTTAAAAATTTTTATTAGTGAAACACCATGAGGTACAGTTGTAGACTTACAAATTTCTGTGCTTGGGTTTCAGTTATACGGTGATCGAGTACCCATCCCTCCACCAGTGCCCATTCTCCACCACCAGTAATCCCAGTATCCCTCCCACCCCCCTTCCCCTCCTGTCCCACCCTGTCTCTGTGTCAGAGCATTCCCTTTTGTTCTCTCTCTCCTTTTGGGTGCTGTGGTTTGTAAAAGAGGCATTGAGTGGCAATCATGTTCAGTCTAGAGTCTACTTTCAGCATGCATCTCCCATCGTGGGAGGATCCTCCCAACACACTTTACTTGGATCTCCCTTCTCTATCTGAGCTGTCTTTTACCGTAGCAGGTGCGGCTGGCCTACAAGCCATGAAGTGGACCTGCTGGTACTTATATTGGCTATTATTGGGTGTTAGTCACCTATATTGTTACTTTATGTTCCCCAGATGACTGCAATATTTCTATGTCTGTCCCTCTCTTTTGGACTCATTTCATTTAGCATGATACTTTACATATAGTACCATTGTTTGTAAATTTCATGACTTCATCTTTTCTAACAGCTACATAGTACTGCACTGTGTAGATGTACCAAAGTTTCTTTTACCAGTCATCTGTTCTCGGGCACTCAGCTACTGTGAACAGTGCTGCAATGAACATACAAGTTGCTGATGTCATTTAGACTTACTATTTTGCCTCTCTGGGATATATTCCTAGGAGTGGTATTGCTGGGTCAAATGGGAGCTCAATTTCTAATTTTTGGAGAATCGTCCATACTGCTTTCCAAAATGGCTGAACCAGTTGGCATTCCCACCAGCAGTGAAGGAGGGTCCCTTTCTCACCATATCCGCGCCAACACAGGTTGCTTTTGTTCTTTTGCATGTTGGCCAGTCTTCATGGCGTGAGATAATATCTCATTGTTGTTTTGATCTGTATCTCCCTGATGATTAGTGATGTAGAGCATTTTCACATATGTCTTTTAGCCATTCGGATTTCTTCTTTGAGAAAGTTTCTGTTCATTTTGTCGCCCCATTTTTTGATGCGGTTGGATGTTTTCTTCTCGTGAAGTTCAACCAGTACTTTGTATATCCTTGATATCAACCCCTTGTTGGATGGGTATTGGGCTAATATCCTTTCCCATTCGGTAAACTGTCTTTGTACTTTGGTAACTGTTTCTTTGAAGGTGAAGAATCTCCTTAGTTTAAGATAGTCCCCTATATTCCTATTTTGGAGAGGGTTTTCATCATAAACTGGTGCTATATCTTGTCAAATGTATTCTCTACATCTATTGATATGATCATGCGCTTTTTATCTTTTTTTGTTGATATGATGGGCTATGTTGATCGATTTCTGAATGTTAAACCATCCTTGCATCCCTGGGATGAATCCCACTTGGTCGTGGTGTATGATCTTTTTGATGAGTTTTTGAATTCTATTTGCTAGTATTTTGTTGAGAATATTCGCATCCGTGTTCATCAGGGATATAAGCCTGCAGTTTTCTTTTCTTATGGTGTCTCTGTTTCCTTTTGGTATTAGAGAGATATAGGCTTCATAGAAACTGTTTGGGAGAGTTTCTGTTTCTTCAATTTCCTGGAAAAGCTTGAGAAGAACTGGCAATCGGTCCTCTTTAAATATTTGAAAAAATTCGCTAGTGAATCCATCTGGACCCAGGTTCTTTTGGGGGGGAAGAATTTTGATTACAGTTTCAATTTCCTTGATGTTAATATGACTATTCAGGTACTCTAGATCTTCTTGATTCAGCCTTGGGAGATTGTAAGAATCCAGAATTTTATCCATTTCTTCTAGGTTCTCTTGTTTCGTGGCATACAGACTTTCAAAGTAGTCTCTGATGATCTTTTGAATTTCTTTGGTTTCTGTTGTGATATCCCCTTTCTTATTTCTGATTCGGTTTCTAGGGTTCTCTCTCCCTCTTTCTTTGTGAGTCTTGCTAATGTTTTATCTATTTTGTTTATTTTCTCAAAGAAGAAGCTCTTGGTTTCATTGATCTTTCAGATTGTTTTATGGGTTTCCATGTCATTGATTTCTGCTCTAAGTTTTATGATCTCTTCTTCTGCCTGGTTTGAGTTCTTTTTGTTGGTCCTTTTCTATGATCTTGAGCTGTGAAGTCAAGTTTTTATGTGGGCACTTTCTTCCTTCCTCAGAAATGCTTGCAGAGCTATAAATTTTCCCCTTCAAATAGCTTTAGCTTCATCTAATGGAAAGAATTTTTGTCAAGAAACCACTGAGATGAAATATCCAGCTAATGTAATGCTCTGCTTACCTTGAAGCTCTAGGGATAGCAATGTGTATATCCTCCAGCAGGTGGCTAAATCTTGACAACCAATATTTATCTCAGAGTCAAAGAGCTTTGGCTCCTCCTATTCTAGCTTGGATGAAGTATTTTAATATCACTGAATTCTTAATTTATTATTCCCCCCTTCCTACTCAAAGAGAATCAAGTTTCAAGCTTGGTTCTAAATCTGGCTAAGATAGCTATTTTTCAATTAGACTAAACCAATGCAATGTTTTGACCAAACAGTATAAGAAACATTGCTATGAACTTCAGCTCCAATTCCAATATTTACCTTCTCCTCAGTTGTTTTTCCCTTTCTTAAATCATTAGGTAAGAAATGAATCTAAGTTATGCATAGTTATTGTCTCAAGATTTTATTTTGTTTTTTATTTTTTCAAATTATTTTTATTTTATAAGTAGTTCTCAATATTTGATTACATTTAATATTCAAACACCAATTCCACCATCATTCCATCTTCCCACCACCATATTTCGGATGTTTCCATCCAGAACCCCAATCCCTGTCCCAAAGCAGAAAAAAATAATATATTTTGTATTGTTTGTAATGAGAAACCGCTGAAAATGCTATTAAATGTATCCTTAGAGAAAAGTTTGTGAACGTTGTTCTATTTCAACTGGAGCCATTAAGACCTTCTATAAGAGATCACTAACATGTTGTTAAAGGTTGAGCTTTGTGTGCTTTAATATATTTCTATCTGTAAATATGTATATACATATATATTACCCTAATATTGATCGCCTACTACTGTGAACCCCATTGAATGGGGTGCAGTATTCTTTGAGTATGGGTAGAGTGTGTTGTATTTGCATCCTCGCAGTCCAGGAATAAGTTCACTCATGGGTGAAGCTCAGCCCGAGCATGTGGAGAGTGCCCTTGAGCATGGAAGCAGTTGAGTTCTGGAGGTTTTCAGCTACTGAGTTGGTTCCTTTGGGGGCAGAGAAGGCTCTCACCCACTGCCCTCTGGGGTGTCCCAAATGAAACAGCCTGGCACGTGGTTCGTTGGCATGGTTATGGCAGGCGTCATGTTATGCCCTCTTCTTGGAGAGAAGGACATGCAATCTGGAGGATGGCTGATGATGTGTCTCATATTTTAATAATCCTCTTCACACATTCTCATACAAGTATACTTGTACTTTCAGCCCTAAAGGTTTTCTAGATTTTCATAAACCATCTCTATCATTAACTCTCTATTCTCTCTTCTCTTTGATTTTCTTTTAGATACCGGCAGCAGAAAACAACCCTTTTCTTGTTGGAATGCACTATTGGTATGCCAGCCAGAGCTCTAAGACCCAGCACTGCAATATCTGTCGGGAAACCATTCCTGCTCTGTCTAGAAATGTGATCGTCTGTGAAGGTATGTTCCTGATTTCTTTATGAAGGGGAGCTCAGTCAACGTAAATAGAATTGAAGTCTCTTGTACAGCTTTAGCTTCATTGAATCACACTAGGCAATTTAATCTAGCTTAAAGTCTATTCTGATACTTAAAGACTGATAAAAACGGAAGTTAGGAAACTAGTGTGATGGTGAATTCTCATCAATCAATATGAAAGTTTTGGTTCAGAATGATTAGAAAATACAGTCTAAATTGTTGGAAAGAAAAAAAATTCTTTCTTGCCATCAATTTTCATATAAAATGTAGAGTAGAAAATGCATCCAGGAGAAATACAAAGTAAGTAGATCATATGGGAAGTAGGGTTTTGGGGATGGTCGACTATGTGATACATCTAAACTGTGACTTTCCAAGTAGCTCAAAGAAGGCAACTAGAATCTTCATTGTCACCAAATTCACACCCATCTTACTTTCTTCCTGATCTCACAGTATGCAAAGTGAAGTCTCACAAATTATGTGCTTTGAGAGCTAGTAAAGACTGCAAGTGGAATACTTTGTCTGTCACTGATGATCTTCTTCTGCCTGCAAATGAAATAGTGAGTAATAATCATGTCCTCTCAGAGTATCTTTTTTCCCATCTCTCTTTCACCCCTTTGATACAGAGAAAGACTACTTCCTCTCTTCATAAACTAAGCAAAGCTTCTTCTCCAGGCCTCCAATACAAACTAAAGAGTTCCGTCATTGGTCAGGAGTATTAGAGTGGGGAGAGGAGGACAAATAAGAACTAGGGGTTATCCCATATCCTCCATGGGCTGTTTTATTTTTTTTATTATTTATTTATTTATTTATTTTACTCCAGTTGACCTTTCTTCCTATAACTTTTACTATTGCCTCTTTTACCCTTCAGGAAACTATGCCACATCAGTGGGTAGAAGGAAATATATCTGTTGATTCTCAATGTGCAGTTTGTCATAAAAAATGTGGTAGCAATCAAAGACTTCAGGATTACCGCTGCCTGTGGTGTCATCAAACGGTAAGACTCTTCCCATCTCCTTGATACCTAGAATATGATTTCCAGAGAAGGGGGGTGGAGTGAAGTTGGCTGTGCATACACATAGATAGAAATAATAAGATAAGTAGATAGAAATTATACTCCAAATTGCATATAGATTCAATAACACAGAACTCTGCATTTTGCCTTTCTATAAGTGGCTATGAAGTTTTGAAAGGTTTTAAAGCTATATGCTTTAATGATTACTTTTAAATGATTATGAATTTGTGTGTCCTACTATCAACTGGGAAGAGCTGAAGTCTTTTATGATAGCACAGGGAATTTAAAAATTAATTGAGTCTACTCTTTGGAAATCTAAACTTCTTATTTCAAGAAGTTTGTAATCTTAGTAGATTAATAATAGTTAACATCAACACATTGTTTTTTATTACTGGATATTGAGTGTCTCATATATATTCTCTCAGTCCTTTCAATACAAAGAACTCATTGTCTCTATTTAAATATGAGGGAAGATTTTCAGAAAAGTAGTTATTTGCACAAGGTCATGCAGCCAATAACCAGGAGTCTTGACTCATATATAATTCCACAATAAAGTTCTCTTAATTAAACAAATTTTCCTTAATTGGGGGTGTTTTGCCCTTTTCTCAAATGGGAAATATTTGACAGTGTATGGAAGGGCTTGGAGGGTTCACTTCATGGCTTGTAGGCCAGCTGCACATTCTAGGGGAAAAGGCAGCTCAGATAGAGAAGGGAGCACCAAGTAAAGGGTGTTGGGAGGATCCTCCCAGGATGAGAGATGCATGCTGAAATTAGACTATAGACTGAACATGATTGCCACTCAATGTCTCTTTTACAAACCACAGCACCCAAAAGGAGAGAGAGAGAACAAAAGGGAATGCCCTGCCATAGAGGCAGTGTTGGACAGGCGGGGAAGGGGGGGTGGGAGGGATACTGGAATTACTGGTGGTGGAGAATGGGCACTGGTGGAGGGATGGGTACTCGATCATTGTATAACTGAAACCCAAGCAAAAAAATTTGTAAGTCTACATCTGTATCTCATGGTGTTTCACTAATAAAAATTAAAAAAACAAACCTAGGTGCTCAACAATGGATGATTGGATAATGAAAGTATAGTGTATATATACAATGGAATACTATGGAGATTGAAGAAAGCATTAAATAATGCAATTGTCTGTAAATTGAATGGAACTGGAGATTATCATATTGAGTGAAGTGAGACAGAAGTTAGACAAACACAGGATAACTTCACTTAGCTGTTGTATATAGACTATCAGCATAATGGAATACGTGTTTACAAAAGGATGTGCCAGTACTCAGGTTACTCTTAGCCCTTGGTCAAAAAAATGAAAAGGACAGGGAGGAAAATAATCTCAGGGTGTAAGGAGTAAGAAGAGGGGGTAATAGGTGTAAGGATTACGGACCTCAAGCTCATTGGTGATGTAGAGGTATGGTATAGACTTGTACGTGTACATATGTTGTACTATATATATATATATATATATATATATATATATATATATATATAAAGCTACAGAATATAATATACACCTTACATAGCCTACAATGCTGCAGGCATGAAATCTAAATCATTATAACTAAACTTTAAAATATGCCTGCCAAAGAGAAAGACTAGGGGTTGGGAGGGAACGTGGGGACATTGTAACATAAGTCAACAGTGTTTGTGTTGTTGATTTTGAAGCACTGCATTCCTGAAACTGAACTATAAATAACTATGTAAATCACAATAACTTAGTGTTTCATTTAAAAAATCTTTCTAAAAAAGAATCTTTAAGAAATCTTTTTAAAATGTTTTTAATTCTTATATTTTCCCATTATATGTGAGGTTTTGCTTCTCTTGCAGCCCTATGGAACCTGTTTCTTTGTTTACTTCTTGCTTTTTTCATAACAGAACAACACCAAGACACACTGTTATGAAAAAGAGCAAGAACTAAAGACAGTGACAGGTTCCATAAGGCTGCAAGAGAAGCAGTGTCTTGGTGTTGTTCTGTTTGTTTTTTCTTAGATTGGGCTTCTGGATCAGTGCTCCCATTTCCCTCTTCAGAGTGGGAAAGTTCTAATATAGTCTTCTATAAATCTTTTCCCTGCTTCTGCCTCTTTATTCTCCTTCTGGAGATCCTAATAATTCTAATATTTTCCTTCATGTATTGTCAATAATATCCCTTATATTCTCTTATCTTTTTTTCTCATTCTTTTTTTCATTGTCTCTCTTGCTGGAACTGTTTATCATATATTTGAGTCCACTACTAATTAGAAATTTTTCTTCATTGTGCTGCTGAAACTTGATACTGTATTATTTATCATCTTTAATTCTATTTGAATGAGTTTTTTATTTTTCCTGTCAGCCTCTCTTTAAGTGTATTGATTATATGTCCAAATGCCATTTTCAGATTATTGATCATTGATAGGACTGAGCGAAAACACAGTCGGTAAGGCATTTGCTTGCATGCGGCCGCCCTGGTCGGCCCAGGTTTAATTCCTCCACCCCTTTGGAGAGCCTGGCAAGCTACCAAGAGTATCTCGCCTGCATGGCAAAACCTTGCAAGCTACCCGTGACGTATTCGATATGCCAAACACAGTAACAACAAGTCTCACAATGGAGACATTCCTGGCCCACTCGAGCAAATCGATGAACAATGAGAGGACAGTGCTATAGTGCTACAGTGCTTTCCTAAAATCTTTTTTAGGCTGATTATAAAGGTCTGATGTCCTTAAGAATCTTTCTGGATTTCTGTCACTCTGTTTACCCAACTGAATTCCAGGTGTTTCATTAACCAGCAGCTGAACCTGGACAGATATCTTGGGGGCTCTGGGACATTGCTCACTTCAGCAGGTGCAATTGAACTGCTGGACCAGTTATAAGAACTTACCCTTTGCTAATGCCAGAAATGGGCAGAAAAATGGGTACACCTGGGATTATGCTCCCCTCGGTGAGCATGCATGCAAAAAATATCAAAAGATTTTAAATGCATTTTAACTGTTGTCCTGGTTTTAGATCTGGTGTCCTGGGTTTTGTTTCTATTTTCCAGGTTATTCCCCTTGATCACCTGGTTCTGGTGACTAGTGGGGCTTAATCAGAAAAATAATTTTAGACAGGCTTACACTCCCAAAGAGAGAACACAGCAGACAAAAATATCTCTAGTTATTCTGTGAAAAAAGTTAATTTTATTATGTTGAATATTTAGCCTGTATGTCAGGAAACTGTCAAAGAAAAGGAGATAGAATGTCATTTTTGTTCTATATGTGATCAATCCAAGTTTCTGCTATCTTCTGTAAAGAAACGTCTACACTAATTGGGTATTCTGATTTTTGGAAATATTATTCAGGTTGCTCAGTAAATGTGATCAGTATGATTTGCACTTCTGGTGCTATACTCTAAAAATGCTCCCCAAGTATCTGGTTTCCAGACCCTGAAAACTGAGACCATACTCTTTTTTGTACAAAGCATTTTCATAGATGTACTGGGATTTATAGTGCTGTTAATCATACTTTCCACGCACACATCCTTCAAATACCATAACCATCACCAGCGAGCCCACTTCTCTCTACCAGTGTCCAAAGGATCCCTTTCACTGCAACCCACATAAGCTCAGTTCAGCAGACAAAATATTAAGTTCCAATGACTTTGACAATTTTTGTTTCTTTGTTGTGTTTCTTTTCTTATCGCATATATGATGGAGAATTCTTTTTTATTGTGAAAGTGATAATATCTACATACACATACATGAATATAATTTAGTAAGAGAGAAGAGATTTAATAAATTATTACAGTGGGCACTGGAGAAATTGTCCAGTAACTAAGATGCTTTCCTTGCACATGGCTGACCCAGGATTAAACTCCGGCACCACATATGGTTACCCAAACACATAAGGAGTAATCGCTAACCACAGAGCCAGGATTCACCACTGAGTACTGCTAGTGTAGCACAAAATTTTTAAAAATAAGGAAAAGAAATGTAAGGGAACATTTGAATAGGCCTATAAAAATATGAAAGTATGTTTTATCCAAAGAAAGGAAATATTGGATTTTTATTAGAAAATAGTATAGATACTTCTTAAGTTTCTGCATTGATAAATTAAAGATTATAATAAAAACATCCTCATTAATTGAAAAATCTGATGAGAATAGAACATTTTTTCTAAGCCAATCTGATGACATCTTCAATGCTTGTGCAGTAGAGGTTGGTCACAGAGAATGATACCAAAATATAAAGAGAGAGACAAACACACATGAACTTGTCCAAGATTTAGGTTGCCTTCACAGGCTCACCAATTATATAATATAATATCCACTCCCCCACCACTCTTCCTGGCTCCCAACAGGTGGGCATTGCTGAAAGATACACTAAGGACAGTTACTAAGCACATAAACATTTAATAGGTAAACGGATATCAGAGGCTTGGACATTTCATACATCTAATTAGAAGGCACTAACAGACCCTAAACTGTTTATAATATTCTTTCCTGAACTCATTTTTGCTAGTCCTGTTATTTAGCCCATTTTTATTTTATTTTTTTGTTTTATTTTATATATTTTTTTATTTATTTATTGAATCACCGTGGGAAAGGTTACAAAGCTTTCAGGTTTAGGTCTCAGTCATACAAATATCAAACACATTTCCCTTTACCAATACTTATTTTTTACCATGAAGAACCCCAATAAAACCCCACCCCCCACCCCTCCCAGTCCCTGTGAGGCAGATGAATTCTAGTTAACACTCTATCTGCTTTGATTAGATTCACTGTTTCAATAAAAGATTCACCACTATTATTTAGAGTTTACCCCCCCAAATCAGACATGCTGAAAAAGCATTGTGAAGTGATTTGCTTTCTACAGCTGGGTTCAAGAATTAAATGTTGGTTTTGGATTTCTGCTATTTTACCTATTGACCCTGGAAGTATTTCTACTGAAAGTCAGATAGTTAAGAAATTGGTTTCTGTGTTCTGGAGTCGTGGCCGTGCTGGAGAGCCGCTCATGGGG